CTCTCTCTCTCTCTCTCTCTCTCTCGCCGTAGCGGTATCTTCAGCGCAGCAGGTAGTAACCCAATCTTGTATCACTCATCTCTCTCTCTCTCTCTCTCTCTCTCTCTCTCTCTCTCTCTCTCTCTCTCTCTTTATCTTCTTCTTCGTCCTGGTCTCCTTGCAGCTCCGCGGCGGCTTCTTCCACCTCAGGTCCGCTATGGCGGACTGTCACCTTCAACGGCCACCTCTGCTATGGCGCCTCAACCCTGCACCCGACTTCGCGTATGGAATAGCGGGAACCTGCTCCGATACCAATGCAATCAGACTCAACTTATTCACACTTTTTATGCATGTGAACAGCAGCACAACAAACTGGCGACATGCGCCCACACACTACTCAGAGATATGGCTTCCAGGTAAGTTCACTTTCACTGGCTATGGCGACTGAGCGCCCAACATCCCACTGTTCACACACCTTGGATCACCCTGGATATCCCACACGCATCACTTGGAACACACACACATACTACTACAGCTATGGCAACGCTCGCTGGCTCTACCCTATCGCTATGCTACACTTCTCTGCCCACTTCAACTTCGGGCCTACTGCAGACCTCCTCGCACAAGACGCTGGGGCAGCGCTTCCGCATGGCTTCTGTAGGAATGAATGAGTGGCTGTGCGCAGCCTCTTAATTTATACTTTCGTGAGTCGTTGGTCTGCCCTGTTTCCCTGGCCCACGGTGTGCACAGTCCCAGACAGTACTTGCTTGACTGGACCGGACTAACTGGACTGGGACTGCTGACTCTGCGTGGTGGACTTCCACCACTTGCCCACTTGCCTAGACCTACAATGGGCTGACTTCCGAAAGGCCACTTCTAGAAACCTCTATCTGGCCTTTCGGTACTGTAGCAGCTACGACTCTACCCTTTCAGGTAAGTAGCAGCTACGACTTTGACCCTTCAGACAGTCTACAGCTACGACCTCTTGACTGTCTAGACTCCTACTCGACAAGTCTATAGTTCGAATCCCTCATACTCTGTAGCCTATGAGATCCTACCTACCACTGGCGGCCCTACAGGTCGCAGGTTCAAATCTACGGGTGGACACAGGTACTGTACCCAGGTAGGGTGGGGAACTAGGGATCGAGCCCTGGAATCTGCATCAGCTACTGCGAACTGGTGAATACCGTTTCAGGTTGTGACAATCTTTTATTTATTTATTTATTTATTTATTATACTACTCTTTAATTTATTTCGAGATAGAGATCTGATCACTTAGTTATTAATTTATTATTTCATTTTATTTATTTACTTATGGTTTATTTTTACTTATTTATTATTGTTTACTTTCTTTTCTGAACTGTTTTATGTATGTTTTTATTTATTTATTTGTATTATATTATTATTGAATCCCCAATGAAAGTTGTTACAACCATTAATACTGTAATAAATGACCACTCCAAGGCACCACACTAGTTTTGTGGACTGGCATAACTCGCATATGCTAAAGACCACGAAAAATATGAAGATAAACCACAATGAAGAATAGACTGAAACTTTCACAACCTTGGTGATTACTCGAGTTCTCTCCCAACCGTACGAGATAGTCACCTATATTTCTGGATATAGGCACCTTTCTCCACGAAGCGGACGATGTTGAGTACAACCTTATTATTAGACACTTTTTGATGAAACTATTCATTCCATCATGAAATTATTAATTCAATTAAATTACATTGCGGGTACCACGGATCCTCTGCGATCCACCTTTATTGTTGGACTTCACCTGTACTACCTAAAGGCTGTGTTGTAACGAGATGTCGTTTCGCCTCCTGCACCCAAGTAAATGGGTAATCTGCCTCTTTATTTATTTACTAATGTATTATACTATTATTTAATTTATTTCGCGATAGAGATCCGATCATTTAGTTTTTTATTTATTTACTTGTACATTTTAATTACAGTATTAATAATGTGTATTTATGTACTTATGGTTTATTTTTACTTATTCATCAGTTTACTTACTACTATTTACTTTCTATTTATTATTATTTACTTATTTATTTGTCTATTTCAAGAGAAGAGATTTGATCAGCTCAGAGCCATCAGGGCCGAGGTTCCACAAGCAGATACGATTGGATGAAGCGCTTGATTTTCTGACTGTGTTTTATCAACTGTTATGCAAAGATTGATGGTCGATGATTGATGATTGATGATTGATGATGATGATGACGATCATGGTGCTGGTTCGCATTATCAGGAGGGTTGAGCAGGAGAAGAAGGAAGAGGCGAGCGAGGAGAGGGGACGGACTCGCATTATCAGGAGGGCTGAGGAGGAGAAGAAGGAAGAAGAGAGCGAGGAGAGGGAGGTGATGATGGTGTCGGTTTCTCATTATCAGGAGGGTTGAGTAGGAGAAGAAGGAAGAGGAGAGCGAGGAGAGGGAGGAGGAGATACGAAGATTTCTTTCCAGGTCAGCGTGTCTCGGACGATAACAATAGGATACGTAGACTGATGACATGGCGCTTAGGCAGATAAGCGAAGGATGGATATAAGTCAAAACACAAAAACTCATCAAAGACGTAAGAATCCAATTACCATGACCCGAGCCCTCTGCAACCCTCCCCCTGCTCAACCCCATCCCAATTCCCCCCCGCAACCGCCCTTCTTACCAAAAAAGCATTTTTATTGCTTGGTGATTGCTCTCGGATGCGGCCGGCGCTGGATTCGCTCCCGTTCGCCCCCCTTTATCTCCCCTTCCCTCTCGCCCTCCCTCACTGAACTACCTCCTCAAAGAACAAAAAAAACATTCAGCTGCCCCCTCCCGTTCGCGAAGCACCAGGAATATGTTGCTGCCCCCTCTATCCCTTCGATATTGAAACCGTACGCAATTAGAGGGAGCGTTAGCTAGTAGCTGAACGTTTTTTCGTTCTYTTTTCAAATGATTTACCRTTAGTGGAATGCTSACATAGCAGGCAGGGATATTAAAATTTTCAATCGATGAGCCCGGACTCCAGATACAGACCACAAACCTTGCTTTTTTCCTTTTTTCTTCCTGTTATGAATAATAACACAAGCGAGAGGAGGAGAGAGGACTCGCAAGATTGCCAGCAATCAAGAGGGAACCACAAATAAGAAGAAGAACAAGAAGATTGCGCTGTGTTGACTTCTAAGATCATCATTATTCGAAATTATTGCTGTTCCAGAATTGCCGCCGTCAGAGGACGCCCTGTTTTCTCTTTTCTTTTCCATAAAAAATGTGAAGGTCCCTGCACAAACGGGCCCAGTGCTCAAGACTTATATTATAAATTGAGGATGAGGCCGGAGTCCTCATTGTTTTTTTTTTTTTTTTTTTTTTTTTATTGTGGCTCGATGGAGCACAGATCAGATATTAAACTGATCAGAACAGATACTACGCTTGATCTTAGCCAAAAGGCCGAGAAAGGTATGGTCCTCACTGTTTACCCGGAGGCTGCCAGCATTACCCAGTTTTGCTTACAGGCTCAAGCCTGCCGGGGCACACCCCCCAGCAACAATAGCATGGACACTCAGACCGAAATGGTTGTCTGAGTTCGTGGTGTGCCCAACCCTACTGCGGGCCGGTGGAGACGAGGCTCCTCTTAGACCATTTGGCACTCCAAACCAA